TTAATCTGCTCCGGTAGGTAAATAAAATGTTTAAGATAACGTTAGCTTGATATGTTAGCTTCCGTTTCACTAATGGTGCGTTTGCTTTCACCTCGGAACTCCAAATTTCCGACTAGAAGAACGTGAACGCGCTCTAAAGTTTGCCTTCACTTTACTAAATGCGACGGGTGATTGGGTGAAGATGAAACCAGCGACAACGATCTAAGTGTGAGGCATCATCGTTTTAATCTGCTCCAGCAGCTAAATAAAATGTTTAAGATAACGTTAGCTTGATATGTTAGCTTCCATTGCCACCATTGTTATCAGCTAGTGGTGCGTTCGCTTTCTCCTCGGAAATTCTAACTTCCCAGTAGGAAAAATCAAATGAAAAAGGACGGCAAAAGGAATGAAGATACACAGTAAATTTAGTTCACAGTAAAGATGTTTGCTTCAATTTAATTATCAGCTTATAAAACTACAAGGACCATGTTAAAATACAAACAGTTGTATGTTATTTATCGTGATATTTATCAAATATGGTTATATATTGAGAAAATATATATTTAATTATAAAAGAGAATTAAAATAATAAACACTCAAAAGTATCAAATTGGTACCGTTAGTACCGAATCTATCCAAATGTCAAAGGTACCCATCCCTACCTCCTGGGTTTGGTTTGGTTTTGACCCCTTTTTGGTTGCATTCGTTTGGATTCGTTGGAGTTTTAAACTGTGGTAGTTTTTAACTCTTGGTGATAAGTTTTTTAAAGGTTAACTGTATTTGGTGCAATTTTACTGACTTTGGTTTTCAAACACCTTCGTGTGGTAAAGCTTTTAAAATAAGCTTTTACCAGGTGTTTTAATCAGTAAATTGTTTGGGACTTTTTATCAACTCTAGGATTTTAAAACACCTTCTGCTCAGTTAAACTTTTCATATAAGTTTTAACCAGGTGTTTTATAGTTGATAATTTAGCTGTGTAATGTTAACCTTTTTAGAGAGACCTGTTTGCTTGTGTTTTAAATTCATTTTTGTTACAAATAAACCCATTTTAAACTCCTCCGCCAGTTCTTATGTTACCCCCATCCTTCACATTTTCTCAACACCTGTCGGGGACGTAACAATACTGAGAAATGTATTCCCATTAAACATTTGTAAAAAACCTTTAACTATCTTAGAAACACTCTCTCAGCTTATAAGCTGCATGTTTACATTTAATTTACTAAAACATTTATTTATACCAATAAATGAGCAGCAGTTTAGCCTCCTGGTCTACTTTAAAGGTGTTGGAAGATCAGGATTGATTATGATGGCCATCATGTTTGGTTTAGTAATGCTTGCTTCATCATGACAGGCTCCTTTTAATTATACTGGTTCCATAATTCAGTTGGAAATGATTTGTGTGTTAGACTCTGGCAGCAGCAAAAAACGGTCTGAAGGGCTCAAAGTGCAAGAAGTGCTTTCTCTCTCACGAACAACAAGCTGCTGATTCAAGGAGTCGTTTTAATGAAAAGCACAAACTCAGTCAATCAGATGCTAACTGCCGTGCTTGTGTAAAACATTTTAGTTTGTGTTGAAACAAAAGTCGTATTTCAGAATGTGCATGCACTGTTTTAAAACATGAAAGAAAAAGAGTAGGGAAAGCAGTTACTGGATTTAAAATGATTAAAAGCCTTTGTGCTGCAGAGAGAATAGAATAGAATAGAATAGAATAGAATAGAATAGAATAGAATAGAATAGAATAGAATAGAATAGAATAGAATAATCCCACAGTGGAGAAAGCAATTTGCTACAGCAACAAATACACCTGGAGAAAAGGAAGAAGAAAATTAATAAGATTACAGGTAAATAAGCAAAGGCAACACGCTATTATTGTAACCTTAAACACCTAAAAACAGCAAATAAAAGAAAACTTGGGTTTCCAGAAGTGTGCAGCATGAGGGACACAGACATGATGTACATCCAGTATTGCACAAGTATTAAACACACACTGAACATTGCATTGATGGTATTGTGTACCAGGATAATGCCAGCACCAGTTAAACTGAGGAGTTATACACTCTCACTGCAGAGGGGGATCAATGACCTACTACTACTACTACTACTACTACTACAACTACTACTACTACTACAACTACTACTACTACTACTACAACTACTACTACTACTACTACTACAACTACTACTACTACAAATACTACTACAACTACTACTACTACTACAACTACTACTACTACTACTACTACAACTACTACTACTACTACTACTACTACTACAACTACAACTACTACTACTACTACTACTACTACTACTACTACTACTACTACTACAACTACTACTACTACAACTACAACTACAACTACTACTACTACTACTACTACTACTACTACTACTACTACTACTACAACTACTACAACTACAACTACTACTACTACAACTACTACTACTACTACTACTACTACTACAACTACAACTACTACTACTACTACTACTACTACTACTACTACTACTACTACTACTACTACTACTACTACAACTACTACTACTACAACTACAACTACTACTACTACTACTACTACTACTACTACTACTACTACTACTACTATACATCAAACTTATATAGCGCTTATGGCAGCAAAACATGCAAGGTAATTGTTGGGTGATGGAAAGCTTTAGAGATTTTTTTAATTCTGTGCCCAGTGTGTGTGTGTGTGTGTGTGTGTGTGTGTGTGTGTGTGTGTGTGTGTGTGTGTGTGTGTGTGTGTGTGTGTGTGTGTGTGTGTGTACGTTTGTTTTACCTCTGATTTAAGCCTCTCGATCTCAGTATCCTGGTCCTCCAGCTGAGTGCGTAGCTGATTGGCGGCCACCTTCTCTGTCTCCACAATTTGTACGAGGTGGATGTACTTCTGCATCAACACTTCTCGCTCAATAATCAGATCAGAATAGCTGAAAAATGCATGCAAACAGGAACAAACCCTTCATTTAGTGCTGAAATGAAACCTGAAACTGTCATTTATCAAGACAAATATTTTACTGGTTAATGTACAAAATAAAACATTTTTAATCAAGCCAACTTCGTTGTTTTGTAGAAAATGTGAATTAATCCTGAATTTGACGGCAACACAGCTTCTGTAACGGTTGCAAAGGCGTGTTCCTCGCTGCCCCATGAGCTCTGCGGGTCTTCTATAAAACGGTTATTTGTCATACATAAAAGCAACTCAGTGGGCCCTTCAGGTGGAAGATGAAACAGTGAAAATATTCATCTTTGGTGTGTTCTTGCTGTGTTGAAATTCTAATTCTATCTTTTAGTTCTTTTTAAAACGTCGGCGACAGCCTGACGAAGTTTGCGGCCGCAAACGAAACGTTGCAGGTAAATAAAACCTTTCTGTGTTTTAAAAAGAACTAAAAAGATGGAAGTGAAAATATTCAAGAGTAAATCGCCTCTGTCAGTGCGCCCCAGGGCAGCTGTGGCTACATCGTAGCTCATCACCATCAGTGTGTGAATGTGTGTGTGAATGGATGAATGATACACTGTAGTGTAAAGCGCTTTGGAGTCCTTACTCTGAGTGGTGCTATACAAGTGCGGGTCATTTATCAATTATCAAAAATAAACGTGGACGTTTTTTAAACCAGATTTTAAATACATAAAAACTTGATTCGTAACGAAGAACGACTAGTTTGCAGTGCAGAAGGTGCAGCTTAAGAAGAAATCACTCAAAGTGTCTCATTTTGGTTTAAACTTTGCTCGTTTGAAGCAGATTTAAGGTCATGAGGAAGCCGACTTCATCTGTGTGCAGCTAATTGCGGATTCACTCTGTTTGGTTCTGACCCGGGGTTCTACCAGCTGACTGCTTCCTAAGGATCTCAGAAAGAGGAGATCTGACGTGTATTTTGGCCCTGTTAGTTAAAAAAAACACCTCAGTGCAGATATGGCTGCACAGAATGTGTGGAAACAGATAAACTGAGTTAGAGAAAACTTTATATTAAAAACCCAAAGAAGGACGTCTCGATTCGATGCACATAATTTCTGAGGCCTCAGGTGGCTCAGCATGAGAAACGGTCATGTCTCTGTGACATAACCACTTCAACCACAACATTGTCTCTCAGCACAAACGTCTGTCGCTGCATCCACAGCCTGAAACTGAATTATGCAAAAACTGGAAATGTCTCTGGGAGCCATCTCAGCTCAGGACAAAGGCTCAGAGGAGCTTTCAGTTTCAACTTACCTTTGAGGGGAAATAGACATTATGCTATTCGTGCTGAAGATTAAAGAAGAATCTGGTAGCAAAAGGTGAAACGCATCAGTGTTTGAGATGGTTTGGTGGTGCATCAGCACTCATAGCATGATGCAGAGAAGTCGGCGTCGGCGTCTTCCTCCGCTTATCCGGGTCACGGGGGCAGCATCCCAACTAGGGAGCTCCAGACCGTCCTCTCCCCGGCCACCTCCACCAGCTCCTCCGGCAGGACCCCAAGGCGTTCCCGGACCAGATTGGAGATGTAACCTCTCCAACGTGTCCTGGGTCGACCCGGTGGCCTCCTGCCGGCAGGACATGCCCGAAACACCTCCCCAGGGAGGCGTCCAGGAGGCATCCTGACCAGATGCCCAAACCACCTCAACTGACTCCTTTCGATCCGGAGGAGCAGCGGTTCTACTCCGAGTCCCTCCCGAATGTCCGAGCTCCTCACCCTATCTCTAAAGCTGAGCCCGGCCACCCTACGGAGGAAACTCATTTCGGCCGCTTGTATCCGCGATCTCGTTCTTTCGGTCATTACCCAAAGCTCATGACCATAGGTGAGGATTGGGACGTAGATCGACCGGTAAATCGAGAGCCTGGCTTTCTGGCTCAGCTCCCTCTTCACCACGACAGATCGGCTCAGCGTCCGCATCACTGCAGACGCCGAACCAATCCGCCTGTCGATCTCCCGATCCCTCCTACCCTCACTCGTGAACAAGACCCCGAGATACTTAAACTCCTCCACTCAGGGACGAAATTTTGATTTCAGAAGTGGGGGGGACACAGCAGGCTTGTGCTGATTTGGGGTGGGGGGTGTTATGTAAAGACCCCTTGACACGTCACGTGCCCATCTCAATAATTTTTCCATCCTCAATATATATATATATCAAAGTTAAAAAATGTACAACTCTATTATTATTTTAATTATTATCATTATTGAAGTGCAGTTTTGGCTGTTGACAATGGATAGGCCATTGTATTTATTGTTTTTGGGTCTTTTTTGTTTTTGGTGCAACATTTTCTAACAGGGAGTGAGATTCCTTTTTTATTAAATTTTTGTTTGTTATTTTTATTCATTTAGAAGTTCTGGTTCTGGACATTTCAATGTTAAATGAAGGTTTATTTGTTGCATTTTAAAGGGTGTACTTGCATTATTATGATATATTAACATTATATTAGTGGTTATTTTGGTCTAGATAATGTTGACAATGATATCGTTTATCATCAACAATTTGTTGGACAAAATATCGTCCAGCAAAATTTGTTACTTTCCCAGGCCTAGTCAAAAGTATAAAAATTATTTATACATAAACGGTCCTCCTGAGATCTGGCCGTTTGTTCATTTGCTGTGTTAGAGGACATGCTGAACTAATGTTTTACACATGATCATCACCCTAACATTTGAGTGTATAAAAACATATTAAATATGTTTTTTCCCTTAAAAGTGTTTAAACAGTTGTTGCATTTCAACACACAAAAAATAAATGGAAAAAATAAGATAAATCTAATGAAAAGTGTACATCTTTGACATTAAGCTTAAAAAAATCTGTTGACGATGATGATACTGTTCATTTTTCAGAGCTTTTTAATGTGAACATATACATTGCAATAGATCCGTTTACAATAAAGTTAAATGATAAAAGTTTTGAAGTTACACTTCTACTACTACTAGTAATAATAATTATGATGATAATAGTAATAATAAAAAATAATTATTATAATAATATGAATAAATTGTGTCTGAGGAGTCAGTTATGTGGAGGAGATGAGTTTGTAAAAGTTAGTTTTGAGTATGTTTGTGAAGGAGGAGGTGAGTCTGAGCTTAATGCAGGGGTGTCACATGTTCCAACTTACGTTTTGACTTTGAAAGAAGTCTCTTATATCCACTTTTCGTTTTCTTGACATGCTGCCGCCTGGCTGTGCCTAACTACCAAAGACTCACAAATGAACACTTATTCAAATGTTATGTAATGGAAGCTGAGCTGAGCTCTGATATTACACAGCGTCTAGTTGACGATGTGACTCAGTACCGGTGTTCCCTAGCGGCTCCAAACTAGCAAAACAAAGTGAGCACGTTCTGACTGTTTACAACTTGAGTGACAGCAGCAACAGCCAATAATACGTTAGCAAGTATCAGCAGAGCCAATAGATTAGCTTTTGGGCGGGTCTAATAGGAAACCGGTTTCCGTGTCGGTCCTAGTGCTCAACCAAATCCATTTAATGGAGCGTAACATTGTTTTTGGACGGAAAAAAGTGCAGGGGACCAAAACTGCCTTTTGAAAAAGTGGGGGGGACATGTCCCACCCGTCCCCCCCAAAAATTACGTCCCAGCCTCCACTTGAGGTAGGACCTGTCTACCGACCCGGAGTTGGCAAGCCACCATTTTCCGGTGGAGAACCATGGTCTCAGATTTGGAGGTGCTGATCCTCATCCCAGCCGCTTCACTCTCAGCCGCGAACCTACCCAGCAAGAACTGAAGGTCAGAGCTGGATGAAGCTAGGAGGACCACATCATCCACAAAAAGCAGGGATGAGAGTCTCCTGCCACCAAACTCGACACACTTCAAACCACGGCTGTGCCTAGAAATTCTGTCCATAAAGGTAATGAACAGAACCGGTGACAAAGGGCAGCCCTGGCGGAGTCCAACCCTCACCGGGAACAGGTCCGACTTAATACCGGCTATGCGGACCAAACTCACGCTCCTCTGGTAAAGGGACTGAATGGCCCTTAACAGAAAGCCACCCACCCCATACTCCTGGAGCGTCCCCCACAGGGTGCCCCTGGGGACTCGGTCATAAGCCTTCTCCAAATCCACAAAACGTAGATTGGTTGGGCAAACGCCCATGCCCCCTCCATCACCCCTGCAAGGGTATAGAGCTGGTCCACAGTTCCACGGCCAGGACGAAAACCACATTGCTCCTCCTCAATCTGAGATTCAACTATCGATCGGACCCTCCTCTCCAGTACCTTGGAGTAGACCTTTCCAGGGAGGCTGAGGAGTGTGATCCCCCTATAGTTGGAACACACCCTCAGGTCACCCTTCTTAAAGATGGGGACCACCACCCCGGTCTGCCACTCCACAGGAACTGCCCCCGATGACCACGCAATGTTGCAGAGACGTGTCAACCACGACAGCCCTACAACATCCATAGCCTTGAAATACCCAGGAGGAATCTCATCCGCCCCCGGGGCTCCGCCGCTGTGTAGTTGTTTGACTACCTCAGCAACTTCTGCCCCCGAGATTGGACAGTCCATCCCCAGGTCTCCCGGCAGATGTGTCACTCAGCGTGATGTTGAGGGTCTGCCCTCATGAGGAAATTACTATGCAGTAATTTCTCCAAAAGACTGTGCCAAAAACGGAGTGTGAATAAAAGGCATATTAAAAATCAGCGCCAGCAGCAACTTCATTTCCCATGAGCCTTTGCACCCGGAAGCAGTGTGATGACGTCACCACGTCGAACCCCGGACCCAGAGTCCAGCCCGCCGGACCGCTGAGTCTATCAAAGGGAGACAGAATGAAACGTATCTGTCTTTTGTTCAGTTCAACTGGCGTGAAGACGCACTCGTTTGCTACGGCTCCGGACAGCGTGTGCACGAGGCCTGGCTGCTGAAGTGGACGGAACACCGAGCCGCTGAAAAGCAACGGAACCGCCATCTGGTTCGTTTGAACTCAGAGGGATGCTTCGGATTCGATGAGTCAAGAGTTTTTTT